GCAGAGATTTTGACCAGAGTTTTTGGTTATAAAGTCTTCATTTGTGTTTTGTTTTGGTTTTGTTTTTTTTTTTTAAAACCTGTGAAACACTACTGGTAGCAGCCATGAACAAATCACTTAACATCTGAAACATATGTCCCTCTTTTCCACCATTCATCCTTTACTTTCCTCTTCAGAGCAGTGGGATGTGCATTTCAATGCCAACAGAAAAACACAATGGAACACCTCTGATAAAAACAGGGCTGAAAGACACCTTAATGAAATAAAGGTTGAGTACATGAGTGAATTCCCCAGCTGACCAATAAAGAAAAGGGGAAAGAAACCCTCACTGCACAAATGAGACATTGTGTTCCTTAGCCCCTTTTACAAGAAAACATTTTCCATAACAGGAAGATACTTTAGAAGATCCAATGACTTCAAGGAACTAGGATTGACTTAACCTACTTTTCTGCCACATGGTTTTAGCTTTCTTATCTACAAGTAAAGACATACAAGGAAACACGTTGGAAACTACTTACTTTGCAAGTGCAAGGTCCACACACACCCCTACACCGTTCCTGCAATTTAGCTGACAAACAACTTATCAAACACAATAACCACGTTTCCTTTAATGAGAGAGCTGCAATGAATGTCCTAATTTAACACAGAATGACTTCCAGCAAATTTAAGATTATACTTTGATGCATCAGTTCCATCCTGGATCATTCCCATGATGCAGATCATCACGCAGTCAGACAAATCCTTGGATCAGACCCAGAGTTAAAACAGGAGCAGACCCCTCCTGGCAGAGCCTGAAATCACAGCAACGGCAAGACCTTGAGAGCTGGTTAGGATTGATTTTTAGGTCAAATAACAACGTGAGAATGTATGGCTGGCATTGCAAAACTGCTATCCCATACTTGTCTTTACTGCCCTAATTCCTATTGCACCCAGGAACATCAGAACTTAGATTCCTACCCCGTAAATAAACGCTGCATCGAAGAAATCCCTAAATCCCTTAAATGCTCCCAGTAAAGGGGACAACCTGAAAGAAACCAAATACCCACTGTCTGATTCACTGCCTATGATAACACAAAGAAACTCCCTCTAACGGTAAATTATTCTTGTAAACCCCACTTCGGTGCCGAAGTCAGTCTGTGTTTGATATCTGAACTACAAGCAGAGCTTTTATGTTTATTATAAAATATTCCATTAAATGCACACCAGTACAGAGGAAATATTTGTTTCTGGGGTATTTAAGGGTGTGGAATATTATTTCACTCCACTAGTAGATTAGAAAAGCCTTTTGCATGAAAATACAGACATAATAAATCTGTCCTTCTCTTAAAAGTGTTATTATACAACATTATTTTGCAACATGCATTAACATGCAAATTATTACTGTTTTTTAACTGACTGGGCTACATATTTACAAGCTCTATCCAGGTTTATTGCAACAGCTCTTTGAGGTCACTGCTGATTTTTACAGCATATATTACGCTAATCATGGAAACTTTCCAGGATGTTTTCAAAACCTGTTTGTTGCGAGTCTTTGTAATGTACTACACAAATATGATTCCTAATGTTTCTTTTCCTTTTCCATACAAACAAGTGAAAAAATATAAATACAATGGCTGCTATTTCTAGACACATAAAATATGTTTCAAAGCACACGGTGTTTTCAAATGTTCAAAACCAGGCAAATAAATGGGAAAACAATAATAAAAGAAGTAGGAAATCACTGCTGAGAAACTTTCCATTTTCCTATCTCTGCACATGAATTCTGAGTGTTCCTCAGGTATTTTCAGCAAATGAGCTACAAAATCACATTTGAATATTCACATGAAAATTACCTGAACAGTTGTCTAATTAAAAAACATAAAAATCTTGTGATATGAAATATTTGATCCAAGAGATATTCCCTTGTTATATACACCAGTATGGGTTTTTAAAACTTTTCAGTGATTTTACACAGTATGAAACTCATTGAAAGCAGCTTCATTATTTTAGTTACAAAAATCAAGTGAACATCATGATTTGGGCATTAATCACTATAAGCAGGTCTTTGTGTCCAAGTCAGTTTAATGTTTAACTTGGAATTAAGTTCTAGCTTTTTTTCAAGGTGGACTCAGCTGTTTGGTAGCTTTTTTTCTCTCTTAGGAATCCAGTTATCTGGGAACAAAGACAAATGTGAAAGACTTCTTTCTTTTCCCTTCAATCCATCAGATTTGAATTAAGAATGTTACAGTTAAGCATTGATTTTGGAAATATTCAGTACATTATGAGTCAGAGCTAAAAAAACTAGTGAAAAAAGCAGTACGGTTTTAAACAAAACAAAAAAAAATCCAAATTCAAAAGCTTTTGAAAGCTGTCTGTAAAGAGAAAGACCTGAACACTGTCTTCCATCAATAAGTTTGAAGAATTTTGAAATTTAGTTGGGTTTCTCCTTGCTTCTCTTTCCTTAGCCTCATACCTGCTTGTTTCAAAGCAGGTTTCAGATAAGAGAGAAATTTTGCTTTCCAGTTAGGAGATCCCTGAAATTTCCTGGCACTTCAAGCCTCATGTAACATTTCTGGCTGCACTGAGAGAGCACATCCACCACAGCCAAGCTCACCTCAGACCACCTGCCCTGTATCTGAACACCAAACCAGTACAAAAGGTGCCTTTTGCAGAACTGGTTGTTTGTTCAAGCCCACACAGCCCCCACTAAGCACTCAGGGAAGGCCGGGGAACAAAGCTGACTAGCAAAAACTCTGAAGCTTCTGTCCACTTTAAAATAATTCATACATGTTTTCTTAGCCTTGGAAAAAAAAATCAAGCAGAAAGCCAAACAAACTAGAGCTTGCCTGGCCAGCTATAATGGCCTGAAGTTGGCATCTCAAACCACAGTATTCCTCTCTTCATATACCATTTGGAGGCAGCAGACTGATACCTGGGTGGTTCCTCTTGATCTGCTGGTAGGTAAGGCCAAACACAGCATCTGTAAGACTATATACCTCTGTTCCCACAGCCAGTCATACCCAGGATACAGAGCATGGATAACTCATGAGAGCAATGAATCCAGGAAAATCCTTTAGAGACATTAGAGGAGACCCAGTATATCCATGGGGCTGCAATTAGGTTAGGGTATCAGGTATTATCATGTACTCCAGAGTCTCCTTTAAATGGAATGCAGTCCTACATGGGAAGGCAAGAACTACCCAATATTTTTGCCTCTGCATTGGTATTCTGAATTATGCTCATGAAAAGGAAAGGCTTCATATGAATCTACTTGAAAAGAATGTCTCTTTTCTATTGCAACTAAGTAGAAAATATGCCTGAATCTTTTCCTTGTTATTCATTTCCACACACACACAAATCCAATTATAATAAACGCCCAAGTAAATTTTCAAACCTTTCTTTCCTTCTCTTTACCATGTCAGTTCCTTACTAATCAGGCTGCAATTGTTTTCTTCCAATAATTATCATGAATCAGGCTCTCGTGAACTTGGTAACAGCTGAAGAATATCTTTTTGACATCATGTAGCATAATTAGAGCAGAGCAAGGCTTTTTCCGTGATTGAATAGCAGGGTTAGCCACACTGACGAACTCCCATTCCAGAACACCCACTACAGTGCAATGCCCATGTTGCTGCTAACCAAATCACTCTGCCCACTGAAGTTCACAGGGAGCGAAAAAAACAAAACACTCCAAACCCTAAAAATAGACACAACATGTTGAGATGATACTAATGGGAATGCCTGCAGTCGTGACAATGTTATGGGGCAGAAGCCCATCAGATGCTGCCCCATGTAACAGGGTTTACACATGTAGAGTCACGAAATCCCAATTTCTGACTGGTAACACTGATTGCAGTCTCATGCTGATCCATGCTACAGTCCAACACAATGATCTCATTAACGGATATCACACTGTAAAGCCCAGAGCTAAATAGCTAAAGCCAAAGGTTTAGCTGAAAACCTCAATCCCTCTGAAGCACCTCTGGCTCCAAGGGGGCACAGTATGGATAAAGGCTATTTTGAAAGTGCATAGAGATTATGTCCCTGACAATAATATGGCTGGTATATTGCTGAGTTACTGGCAAAAGGACAATGAAGAAGCACATGGTAAAAAAAAAAAAAAAGTGAAACCCCATGTTTTACAGCATTTGTCACAGAACATTTTTCAGGTCTTACAATGTGTGGCCCCCACGTTTCTTAAATCCTGCAGAAATCCACATCTGTACATCTGTACCATGACACAAATCCCAGTAAAAGGTTAGTGTTGACTCTTCTAGAATGAATGAAGCTTTGCATTGCTATCCAAAAGACTGTTGCATGGGTTTTTTTCCTCAGTGTAAGTTCTTGCAAGACAAAAAACCAAAGGGCTTAAAAAGCAGGACATAAGATAGATGATGTGTGCCCACATCTCTGTGATAAAATAAGGGTGTTAGTGGGCTTTGAGGAAGGAGTTCTGTCTACTCCTTTTCTTTAAGGATATAGCCAAGGGTATGTGGACATGAAGGATATGAAGCAAGAATCCACTGTCCTTACAAATGCCCATGAGTCCCCAGTGATCCCAGCTCAGAGGGAGAGGTGGACACATGAGGTAAGGCAGTGAATAGCTTCTCCTCTCTGCTCTGAGACACTGGAAACATCCGGAAAGCCAGGATGGGAGACTGGAGATTAGTCTACTCCATCCTACCAGTACCTTGGCATCAATACCAGCTAAAAAAATGAGGAAATCACCAGAAACTTCAAGTCTGAGGTGATGATGGGCTGAACTGCAGGTGGACTCCTTCCAGTAGGCAAGTGAGACAGAAAAGTGACCTTCCTGGAAGGAATCCATACAGGAGGTCAGGTCAGACTGGGCTTTGAGCAGACTGGTCTAGGGGAAGGTGCGTCATTAGAACGAGATGGTCTTTAAGGTCCCTTCCAACCCACACCAGTCTGTCGTTCCAGGATTTGCAATCCTCTAAAAATAGCTGTCACATACACATATATACACCTACTAAATTAGTACCTAATATGATGCCAGTAAAATACTCTCAATTACCTAAAGTGTTGGAACCTTTAAGTTATCATCAACTACTGAGACTGCAGCTGTAACCAACTGAAGTTCCCACTTGGTTCCCACTTTTCTGGGGAGACAGAGGTAACTGCTTCTTTTTTAAAATTTCTTACAGGAACTAAACTAAATGATTTATTCTCTCAGATGTGCAAGTGTTGGCTGGAACTGCTTGAATTATTACCCAGTCGGTGGGAGGTATTCTGCTGAATATTACATTTTACTGGACACTTATGTACATTAATTACCCTTTCGAAGTTACACAGATAAATGGGTAATTTAAACACCACTGGGACTACTCATTTTTCTCTCCTTAAAGCCTTATTCCCGACTGAGGAGGGTTATTCTCATGCATATGACTACTATTCAAAAGCAATGGGCTGCCTCACAGCACACAGAGCCAAGCATATGTGTCAATTTTAGCATGTTTGCTGCCTTTCCCAGGAATAGAGCCGGGGACTATCCACATTTCAGGGCAGGCACTGCTCTCTCTGAGTTTCAGAGCAAATCTTTGGTAAATATTAAACAAGCAACATGCTTTCAATTGCCTAGCTGGCACCCTTCTCACCTTACTGAATATTTTACTATATTCAATATAAAAGAGGAGAAAAGAGATATTTTCTTTATTTTTTCCCCCAATTGTACAGTTTCTGAACCCCATTACTGACAGGTGCTGGCTACACAGAGGGGTAAATACTTCTCCCCAAGCACCAGCTAGAAGGTGAAGCAAGGACGGCGTCTGTGCCGGCCTCCAGCGCGCTCCACTCAATGCTCCCATTATCCACGTCTGCCACATACAAATCCCTGGCAAGCTGGAGCCACACACCACGCCAAGCAGGTGGTCACTCTCTTATCCCCCCTTGCAGAAAACATTAAGTCCTGCATAGAAATGAGGTTACATTCACACCTGCATCAATTCCTTCGCATATCCCAAGGAGAAATAGTTTAGTTTGCTGAGCTGATCGGCAAAACCCATTCCGAGTCACATTCAGCCACAGCAAACAACCGATTTGACGTCATGCCAACAAACTGTAATTTACCTCAGAGAAGAAAAGAAGCAAATCTACTTTTTTTTCCCAGTGTTTTCTAAAAAGTAACCTAAAGTGCACAGCTAATCATTTTCAAATATGACAGTTCTCCTGCACGAAATAAACCCATTTACATCTACTACCACACACAAATAGCGACAGAAAAGGGCTTATCTGAAAAGGTGATACATATCTACTCCGAAGGAAAACCACAGAAAATCTTAAGAAGTTGCAGAAGAAAGGGAAAAATAAATAAATAAAAAAATCACTTCTAAGGCTGCAGATAGTTACTGTTCAACAGCACCGCTGCCATGATCGAGGAGCCCAAGAGCTGCTTACTGTTTTATAATGGTCACAGGAAAATTTACTTCTCCCACGAACAGGGACCTGGAAGGTCATGCTACTTATTGGCATATTTAAGGTGAACGTATACTGCTCGAGTCCAGCTTGTCCTTCCTTCTCAAGGCGTCTATAGTTAAATGATTATATATATGCTGGCATGTGAAGCTTGGGTGGTTAATTTTAGCTGAAGTCACACATGCACAGTGCTCAGATTTCTTCCACTGTCACATTTTACAATTCCTACCCCTTCTGCAGCTCTTCCCTTACACCCCCAATGCTCCCTTCTCTCGCTACTGTCTGTAACAGGGAGTTTCAGTGTTTGACATCAGTTTCAAACAGGATCAATATATTTTATAAACACACTCTTGAATAATGAAGCCATTCACAGCAAGCATAAAGTTTGGCAGGCCTTTTGTGTTAGACACCGTAAGCATTAAGAGACAATTATTAAGGAAATCGTTGGGGTTTTGATTGTTTAGTTTTGTTGTTGTTTTGGGGGGGGGGAGTTACACAATCAGAAGACTTTCTACTTATTATAGAGGCAACCCCCTTCACCTAAATGCTCCCAGTGTCAGTGGAAATTTATTCTCTGAATGGAAATCCAAAATTTCACATGACAAAAAAGTCTGGATATATTTTTTGAGCTTCGGAGCATTCACAATATCAACCAATGTTTGAAGGTTTTATCTGTCACAAATGCAAGTTAATAAGCACCAGGCTGAACTGGACCTGGAGTGGACACACGTAACCTGGTACAGCAAGTGCTGCCTGCCCTCTGGCAGGACCCCACCATGTGCAAGTCAGCCCTAATCCCATAGTCTGACCACGCTGCTGGCATTCCTTAAAAACACAGAGCACTGGCACTCGTACAACGCTTGGCTGGAATTTTGTGTATTAAAAAAAAATAACACAGCCAGTGTTGCCAAGGTGAGAAGCAATGACTGCTTCACCTCCCCTCTTGCTAAGCTGAAGGATGGATGTCTGACATTTTAGCTGTTGATTTTTCAAAAGGCACACTTCTGCCAGAGCAAAAATCTAAGCTGCTCTTTAAACTGCTCGGTGAAAAGCAAACAGCTGGGGAGCCACGCTGTCTCCACAGGAGCTCTCCCCCCAGCAAAGCCCACTCCCTGCGGCTGAGGGGTGTGTTTGTTCTGGGGAGGTGGAACGCTAGCGGGGCTTTGATGGAGTTGGAAGTTTACCCAAAGAGCTCTGAGTGCTGGGCCTCTGATGTGCTCAGGGCTGCGCTCTGAGCAGCAGCCCCGCTGAACGCAGACAGGCACCCCATGCAGTGTGAGAGCGGAGGAAGCTTGCAGCGTTCCCCAAAACCCTTGAGCACTGAAGATGGGAGAAAAATCTAACTTCAGGCTGCTACAAACTTGAACAGAGTTCCTGCTGTAAGCTAATCCAGTACTCAGTGTGGTCAGTTCCCAGAACTCCATGAAGTCTTGGCCCGTGACAGTAAAAAAAAAAAAAAAAGTCTTCTAAACTTTTCTAATGAAGACAGGCTCATTTTCTCTATTTGGAAGAGGTGTGAGAGACTGTTCCAAACAGCTGCTGTATTTCATTGGTATTTTTCACCTGGGGTCACAAATCTGTATGTTTGCAGTATCATCTCCTCTGGGCAGAAAGCCATGGCCACAGGAGGGATCAAAACAGATGAACTATCACTGCTGGACTGGACTCTGAGAAACAAAGGGTAAGGAAAAGATTCCAAGAGATAATCTTGGAATATAATCTCAATAGGGCTAGAAATGGAACCCAATTTGCCATGTAGCATTTTAAGCACAAACTCACTCCTCTATTCCATTTTTTCTTGATTGCTTAGAGAATTAATTAATCAAAACAAGATTCACAGCTGTGAAGCAACTCCAAGTGAAAGTACAATTGGTTTCTAAGGCACGTGATACTAAACCCTTTCAACTTCTAGCAATGTATGAAGATGAAAGTTATCTGGTCCAAATACTGAGGCCAGAAATGTTGCAAAAGCTTTTCCTAATTTTTAACAAAATCAGTTTGCTGTGGGGATTAGGGAATTACAGAAATTGGCCTTGATCTTGCCTGAGAGACCAAATCCTAGCCCTCTTCTAGCCAAGAAGGTCCAGCCAACATTCCCCTTTGGGTCTGCTTAGTGCTTGATGGACAAAAATGAGACTTCAAAACCAGGGGCTGGGTAGGTTCAGTCCATAACAACACTGACAGCACCAGCCAAATACTCTCCTCTCCCATGAACAGAATGTCTAGTGCCACTCAAAAAACATGAAGTCATCTGCACTACCTTTCTCACTCTGTAAAATGTAATTTAGTTCAGTGACCAAGATTTTTCACAAGCAGCAGTGCCTCTGAAGCTGCCAGAAGCTGGCAAGAAGCAGTGCTCACTAACACTTGGAAGGACATAAAGCAACTTGCAACCAACACATGGATGAGAAATCACTGCAACTGAGTCATGAAGGCCAGCAATTTATTCCTCTCTTTATCTGCCAAGCAAGATAAACGCAAAATCTGGAGATGGAAGGAACAAAAGAAGGAGGAAACAAGAACCAAACTGGAGAAAGGACTTGACCACATGATTGCTTCAACGTATTCAATTCTCAATCATTTAGCACACATTTAACTCTTCTGAACAGGAATGCTGTTCTGAAGTTGGTAGTTAAAGAATTACATGTTAATTCCGTTATTTCTAAAGTTTATTGATGGCAAGAGTAAGAATGAGAAGGAGCCAACTATCTTTCCAAAAGGGTTTTGTATGTTCTACCCATGCTTCTATTTCTAATGCTCTTCTAAATGTTCCTCCTGTTCTTGGGCACTGTCAGAAATGGGACAGTTGGCTAGACAAATCTTAGGTGTGACCTACTTTTGAAAGACCTATTTTTATTTTAAGCTGCATTTTTAAGATAGTGATAAATGCTTTGTGACAGCTGAGCATTAATTTGTGTGGCAAAGACTCCATCCCAAAGATGCACAAAAAGACTAAGAATCTCTTAGGGTCCAGCATCCCATTAGATCCAGATTATCACAGGAGCTCGACTTCCATGTAGCCATCAAAATAAAAAACTGATTTTTCAGAAAACTTCAGATACTTTTTAAAAACCTGAACAAGTGCTAGATCTCCAGCATTTTTAAAACTCATCCTCACTTTTCAGAAGGGAAAAAGGAAGATACTCATATATATTTGCATCAACATACAGATGGGAGGATGCAGCCCACACAGGTGTCTGGTTCTACGTTTTGCTAATGAGATCTTGAGATAAATTTCTTATATTTGAAAATATTAAAACCCGTTTATGCACAGGTGGCAGCATTTTTGGTTTTGTTTTGTCATTCACTATATTCCTACATAGCCCAGAAATCAGGCTACAGCAAAAAGCTTTCTGCATAATCTGGGATCACCAGGGGTTTGCCATGTTTTACAGGAAATAAGGTCATCTTTATAAATTGTTCCTGCTAAGCACTTACCAAATAATACAAGTTGTTCTTTCTTTATTTTTCCCAAACAAAAAAAAATAAAGTGCTGAATTAATTTCCACAAACATAACAAACCTAATCTAATGGTTCTGCAGTTGGCCATCTGTTTCACAGATACGAATCTAACTGAATCTTCTGCTGACTGATAACTTTCAAAATTAAATTAAATTGTCAATGCTGACCCTGCTTCCAGCTTAGTTCCTCCTGCTTCCATTTAAAGGGTTGGGAGTGCTTTCTGTATCATGATCTATATGCCAATTAGATAGAAGACAACTGGTAATAGTTGAAGCTACACACTTGGCACCAGATCAAACTCAAAGGGGCAGAGAAGGGCAGTGTCCCCAGCTATGATGCAGCCTAAGGAAATATAGCAAAAAAGTTCCAGAGCACAGATGTTATAGCAAAAACTTTAGTTCCCCTTTCTCTAGTACAGTCTACATCACAAAGATCTTTTCAACCAAATGGACTCGTATATTTATGAGTAATTTAAAAAATACTCCCCCTAATGGAAAAGAGTCACCCTCTGTACCTAAGTTTAGTTTAGCACTATATATTTAAAAAAAAAAAAAAATCATCAGTATTTTTATCCCTAAAGCCCATTTACAGACATGCTAGCCAAGACCCCAGTTACCAGTTCACTGTCTTGAAGAATGATCCTCTGAACGATATAAGAGGAAAATTCTGCTTCTTCATTTCCCACTGACCTTAAGCCTTGCTGGAGAAGGAGGAAGGGGGATGCTTCCATCAAAGCCAGCTGGTGTGCACACTGCTGGAGGCAGGATGCTCATAGACTCAGTAAACGATCAGCCTGATCTGCAATGGCAAATCCTATGCTCCTAATTAGAGAGGTTCACTACAGTGACACCAGCCTATGTTTTCATTGATCTGGGAATTAAAATCAACGCTGTAGGGTTTTACTAGAAATTCTGACACTGAACTTTTAACATAACCTTCTACCAAAAAAAAAAAAAAAAATCCAGTAAAGTAAAATTTACAGCAGACTGGAATTAATAATTTAAAACTGTGTTTTATGGTTGATGAAGAAAATGATAGCACAGGCACAATTCCCACAAGCATAGGCGGTTTGGGCATCTCCGCCTGGGAGCTTCCTCACGTAGCCATGGGCCACTTGAAGGCCTTCTGTACCTTCCTGGGAAAACCATTCAAGTAAAAGAAATAATTTTTGCACCCCTCCTGAAGCTTTCTTCAGAAATATATATAGCACAATCCTTTAACAGAACTGTCACGAGGCAGATCAACTGTAGATTTCATCAATTTACAGCAGAGAGAGTTTTAACATAAAGATTTTTAATGGGAATTTCCAAGTCTTGAACTGCATGACCTACCAGGCTAAGACTCTGTTATCAGTTCCTTATGATCTCTGTTGATTCATCCCTTTTTAAAATGCAGATGGTTGAAATATTTCTATTGGTATTAATACTCCTTTAACAATTATATGGCAGCAAGGAGGTTGATCAAAAGACCTGCAAGCTCTGGAAAATTCAAAAAGCACAAGGCAATGACAGCAGAATATCCTCACAGGGGCCTCCATCAGTCCAATTTCAGTGTAATTCCATGCACACCTACAGAATCCCATTCTCTGTTTGATATCCTGCATATAGTTTCCCATTTGGTCCTGGTTTTGCCTGAACACCTACACCTAGGAAAGTGTTACTCCAGCAAACTTATGTTCCTTAAATTAGCTGAGTAAAAGGTTTAAAGAGCAGAAAAATTACATGGAATTGACAGGCAATAAACTCCTGTAACTAATCTTTGTGGTCATTTTACTGGGGTCCATAGATATCAAACATTTGACTTTTTTTTTTTTTTAACTTTGTAAACCCTTAGTTTTTCTTCAGACAAGAACATTCACTTTGATCTATGCTATAGATGTGGTCAAATGTTCCCACAGGATGTAGATGAAAGCCCATCTATGTATGAAACTAAGCATGGTTTAAAGTAGCATCAGATAAGAGTAGTGGCTTAGCTGCAGATAAAATCAGAGCAATTTACTAGTAATCATTCAGGAGGACAGAATCTACCAGCACAGAAACAAGGCTTAGGGACATCAGCAAAATCAGTTATTCTTTTTTGCCTGGAGCAAGGGTTGGAGGGATGTAGAACAAAGAGCATGTTGCTAGTTTAAAAAAGAAAAAAGAATAAAAGTGGCTTACGCATACATACAAAGTTTTGATTCAGAAATTAACCACAGAGATACTAATACTGGGAGGGGGAAATAATTAAAAAAAGAGCTATCAGGACTGGTTGCCTGTTTTCCTGCTCAAACACAACTAATATTTACAGCGTTCCTTGTCCAGTCCTTTGTCAACTACAGTTTAATCTGCATCATTTTAAAGCTTTAGAAATAAATTAGAAAAGGAAAAAAGAAAGTTGCAATAGCTGTTATAGCACTACGATGAGATTTTAGGTTACAGGCCATTTTTTTGCAAAAGGCAGGCTAAGAACACCATTTAAAACTTGGAATTATTGCAAATTAATTAAACTACAGGCAGATGGCTGAGTTGTGAATTAAAACTAAAATTACTATTAAAACAATCTAAAATAAAAAGGCAGCTCACCGTTTGGATTTGGGTTTTTTTTGTTTCTCTGGAGTTTTTATTTGTTTGTGTTTTGGTTTTTTGTTTTGAACAGTTGTGATTTCCCAGTAATGTCATTTTTGTGGTATTTGTTTTAACACCTCTGGCAATGCCTTTGTTGCAAGTTTTGTTTATGCAATCTCACAACAATTAGGATGTCATGAATTACTCATTTTTGTCTCTACTTCTATTTTGTCTCTACTTCTAGGATATTTCCACTCTAGGATAACTTCCCAGCTATCTCCTGCAGGTTTTCTCCTGAGCCTGTTAGGTTCTTGAAGAGCAAGACTGCTTGCCATCAGCCTTTCACTAGTGATTGCATCTGGCACTAGAACACTTGTGGCAGCCTCAGCAAAATGACAAATCATTCCAAGGAATAAAGGCTGGTGACACTGTGAGAATCAGGACAGATCCAGGCAACTGAAAATTAGTGTGTGTTTCTGGGCCAGTTCCATCACAGCTCAGCCACAGACATTGTTTTAAGGAGGTAAATGACACTTCTAGGCATGCACTAAAGGAGTGCAGGCTTGTCTCTATCAGAGCAATTCCAACACAAAGGCCAATAAAGAAAAAGAATCTCACTGAGCTATACAGGAGCTGACAAAGGCAGCAGCTGCTCTGCTTCACAGGGCAAATTAATATCTACAGTAGGCGTTGGGAAACATGGATCCTTACAGAAATTAGTGTCAGTTCATCCACTCCAGCCCCTATGCCATCTAGGAGATCCAAAGAAGAAACTAAGTGAATCAGAGCACAAATTAATTTTTAGAACATGAGAAGAAGTCCACAGGCTCATTCAGAAGAGCCATGCAGAGGTAGTTCTTAAGAGCATGGAGAAACAACAGGAACTAACATTTCCTGATAAGATAGTACAGTAGTGCCTTCAAAAGAAACAGATCTCTTTATTATGATTCAGATGTTCCTAGAGGATTTGAAGGATGGATGCATGTTTTGGCACGTGCCATTATGTCCTCAAACATAATTTTATTCACACATAAGGCAAAAATTTACTACTACAATACAGTTAACCAAAGAAATAATTATTGAGTATGAACTATCTTAAGCAATAACTGGTAAAAATTTGGATTATGTGAAAAACGATCAATCTTAGATATTGAGATAGTAAGCAGAATGAAAAAAACCCCAGGAGTCTGTGTGGTATAAAATGTGATATGCTGATGTGCAGTACTCTAAATCAGACTTAACCCTTCGCCATCGACTCATGAGCTTGTAAAGTCAAGCCACCCTCCAAAGGAGATGCTTTAGCACTTGCCTGCTGTATAAGGGGCAATATCTGTGCAGTTTTATATGCTAACATTTGTCCAGTGTTTTGCAAACCAATAATGCAGAAAATAAGCTCTTAGCAATACATTCTGAACTAAACATTTACAGATAATATATCTACATTTAGCACATCTGTTTCTGTATTTCTACATTATCAATTTTTCCTTTTTTTAGTATAAC